GTCGCTATACCCGAACTCGGCGTTACATCCGAAGTCGCTATAGTCACATGAATTGTGTACTAAAGTATGCTTTAAATTCAAGGGACTTCGATTTAACGTCGTAATAGGAAAATGGTCGCTATAGCCAAAGTCGTAATAAATGAAATCTACTGTTCATGGAAAATAAAAGAAAGTTGATAAATGTGATCGAGAATTGTAAGATTTGTAGAAAATTAATGGAAGTAAAAGTTGATAAAAATAGAATTTAAATAAATCGATGATATTTAGATATTCATTGAACTGTGTGTTATTAAATATACGGTTGTAGATTAATGTCAACAGAAAGTATTTTTGACACTTTTTGTCGTCACCATCCGTTTTAATAAACATCGCTGATTCATCATTTGAGCGCCTCGCCTGCTGTAGTAGGGGCACTTATAAATAAAATATTTTGGCTATCAATGAAGTCATTTATTACATTGCTGAAACATTTTCGACTTTTAAAACAGTCAGCGGTATATGAACACTTATTTCAAGTGATTATTAAAATATTTACATATTGTTTGAGAAATTTTGTAACAGTAGATTTAAGTTATTTTCTGTGGTCCAAAAAAAAATTGTAATTAACTTTTGACTAGCTAAAACTATCTAAAAAACCACTTCAAATGGTTAGAACTTTGAAATCTTGCTAACTGCAATATAATGGCTTAAAAATGGTGGATTATCTTTTTCCTTCTCAACTAATGGTAGGAATTTTATAAATGTACTTACTAAAATTATTAAATAATTATTTTTAAAAATTTACATGCATTGATTACTAGAACAGTTTGGGAGGTCGAGAATTTACATTTTCCGATAATATTGAAACACAGGGGCGGCCTTTGAGGGTGGCGAGCAGGGCAACCGCCCGGCGCCTCGCTCTTTCAGGGGCCTCGCGCACTCGCATTAATTTACCTTAGTCCATCATAATTAATAATTTCTTATCTTTGCGTTTAACAATTTTTGTTAATTTCCAATAAACAATTATAAAACTTTAAATTTATTGAAGTGAAACTTCTATATAGACGCGGAATATTACGATTTTTTCTGTCACGACAAAAGCGTTACGGCCGCGTGGAGAGGGTAGACGGTATATCGAGGGGAGAGAGGTGGCAGCGGCGGAGAGAAAGGCTGACGGCGGCGGAGAGAGGGCAACTGCTGTATTAGATGGATATACTGCGCAGCCGCGCGAAGAGTGGGGAGTCCGCTAGAGTCCCGGCGGCGTGTGCTGTGCTCAGCTGTTGTTTTCTTACCTCTGCTCTTCACGTGGGCACTATTGCCTCTATTTGCTGTCTGTGTGAAAACCAAATCATAATTTACAGTAAACCTGTGAAAACAAAATGTGTGCTGGGACACATAATTGAAGTGAAACTTCCACGGACAAGTGGAAAAACGAATCGCAACAAAATTTTTGACTTCAAGTTACGGGCAGGTTTTTAAATTGGACAAGTACATTAACAATCTGCCCGTAAAACTTGAGGTAAAAATTTTGTTGCGATTCGTTTTTCAAATTGTCTGTTTAAGTTTCACTTCTACTATGTGTCCTAGCACACATTTACTTTTTATTAATAACTTTGCATTTCTCGTCAAGTATCATCATTAAAACTAATTTCACAAAGACAACGGCCTAGCAAAGATCTACCCGCCCGGAGCCTCGCAATGGCTAAGGCCGCCCCTGAGTATCAGCTACATCCCGCAAGCCACGATGTATGCCCTTTTATCTCAATTATAGTCAATGTGGCCACTATTAGGCTGAGAAGTCTAGTAGAAAGCTATTTGGATAGAGTGACAGGGATGAGGCTCAAACTTAATGTATATCTTGGAAACGAAAACCTTTTTTGGGGCTTGATTAAGGTCCCAGGACGGAACGACCTCCGCCACCCTCTGCCCTCGTTATGTCACTGCTTTTTCACCATGCATTTCATTCACAATCACCATAAAACTGAAAACTTAATTTTTGTCAGAATAAAATACAGAAATAAGTACTTTGAATTGAGTTAATTATTTATTTTTTTTTTTAATTTCTGTATTATTGAACATCTTCATTATGATGCTGCCATCCTCCAGTATTAATTTGATCGGGCAGGCGTTTATCAATTTCGACCTAATTATCCCAAAATTAACACAGTATCAACAAGAATAAGCTGAATGGTTCTGTTTAGGTGAAAAACTATGAAGGATTAACACAGTATAGTAAAAAATTATTTGTCTAAAAATCTATTTCTGGGTCATCAATCATCCATGTTGAATTTCTTCATAAGAGGTATAAAAAAAGAAAGTGAGAAAGCCACAGGTTCCTTGTTGATTACTCCCTAATAAAAAGTTTTGTTTTGTGATTGTTGCTTTGCTTTGTGTTAGTAAATTGACAAGAAATTATAATAATTGCCATGATTCCCAAATTACTGCTTGTTCTTTCGTAAACTAAAGTAATAATAATATAAGCTAATGGTTTATTTTTTTTTTGTAGTGGACTTTTCTAATGTTAGAAGGGATAATGGCGATATCCCCTAACAATGTAGTGTCCCGACATCTTTCACCCGACAATCGAAACCGACTTCACACCGTTTTGCAAATAATGAGTGCTGCATTTTGTTTGGCTGGTTACTTAATCTTGTACCTCAACAGTTCCAGGCATCTTATGACACCACATTCAAAAACAGGATTTGCATCACTTGTCTTAACTTTACCGACTTGCATTAATGGATTTACTGCCCTTTTTGCAGTGGAGCTTAAGAGGTTTGTCACATTTTTAATAAATCATTATTTTTATGTTTACAAATTCTTCCCCCCTATCAGTCACTGTGAGCTCAAAACTGTTAGAACCATTGCTTCGAGTGGTCGAAATTCACTTTTGTGAACAATCACTTTCTTTGTGTTAAAAATTGTTTTGAAAATTAAATTTAACGGAATTGTTTCTAAATAGATATGCAACACATCGTACACTTCAGCATAAGAAATTACTGATACTAACTACGTAATACTACTTTGCCCTGTACTGACAGCACTCATAATTTCTTTTACGAGGGCGGTTCAATAAGTACCCGTGTTAGACATGAAGACACCTTTTTTTTTAAAATTTGTTTTTTTATTTTTTAACATAGTCCCCTTTTAGAAAGATACACTTCTCCCAACGACCCTGCCATTTNATCCTGAGCTAATCTTCGCATTTCCCTAAAACTAGAACAACCCACATCCTTAATTATTTACAAACACTAATCTAATCTGGGTCTACTTCTACCCCTCCTAACTCCCGTTTCTACCTCTAATATGTCTCTAACTAGACCTTTATGCCTGAAAAGGTGACCTACTAACCTATCTCGCCTATTTTTTATTGACTTCCATAGAGTTATCTGTTCTTCTATTTTTTCTAATACCTTTTCATTTCTAACCTTCTCCATCCACGGTATCATTCGCCTGTAACACCACCTTCGAAAGCATCTAACCTTTTCCTTTCCACCACGCCCGCCGTCCATGTTTCGCACCCGTACAGCGCCGCGCTCCAAATATACACCTTTAACAACCTTTTTCGAATTTCCAAATTAATTAATTTAATGCTCTAATTAAAATTTTAGTGTTTGATTTATCAATCTGTGTAATCCCTCATAGGTACACACATCTGGACAAGGAATTCCAAAGGATTAGAGCATCAGGAGTAATAAAAATAAAACAGATAATCAGACTGTCATAAATTTCAGATTTTTTTGATTTAAGTTAGCTGCATTTTGTGTGTCTCATTTACCCCCACCCTTAAAGTCAAAAACTGGATACGCCCATAATTGTATTTATTTTAAGTAATCAATTATTTTCCAAATCCAATATAAAATTTGTTAACATCGTTACAAAAAAAAAATGAACTGTTAATACGCGTACGTTCGTACTACGTGCAATTTATCAACTCAAAGTTTTCTTTAATTGATAAGGCAACTTTGTATTCATCCGCAATTCTGGCATTCGCCTAAATGATAAACTTTGAAGAGGTATAACTTAAAACTGAAGCTTTCTTTGATGCCATTTCAACAGTGACCAAGCTATAACAAACAGCAAACAAAAGCAACAATGGAAACAAAGCCCAACGAAACAAAAGCAAACACGTTGACAGTTCGACAAAAAATTGCATATTTTTCGGACCATATTACTACTGTTTGTCATGTTCTAATACTTTGGTATGTTCTGTATACTTGGTATATCGCTTTCATTGCCGATGGATGGAATCTTAGTAATCTTTCCCTTCATGCCACACTTTACGTCCAAGGGGTATGTATAAAAAACGACTTTTCTACATTATACGTAGGTAGTTTAAGTATAAGGGATTTACTTATTATTTATTTTTTTCTTAAATATTTTTTTGTTAATATTTCTACTTTTACTAACAATATCAACTTAGATAAATATTTCCTTTATATCCCTTTTAATTTAAATAAACACTTGCTTATTATTAAACAGTATGCCATATTTTGTATTATCAAGGGAAATTTAGTTGCTTTATAAGCGTGTGAATTTTCTGTTTTTGTATGTTTTTCTCTTTAAATTATGAAAAATTATATCTTTTAAAGAATATCTTACAAGATAAATATTTAGATTAATAAGACGTGTTACTATTAATAAAATTTGAAAAAAAAATTAAATTTGATGTGTACAATATAGGTGACTTTATTTTATTTTATTATTA